GCTAAAACCAGCACTTTTCATTTCATATAACATATTAAAACTATGTAACGTAATAATAATTAGAGTTTAATGTTCCACTGTATTTATTATATACAAATTGTTTCTCATCCCAGGCTATAAAATGAACCACTTGTCACTTGTCACTTGACACCAAACACATAGGTTCTCCATATGATATTTGCCATATTGGACACTTTTACTGTTCATAGTCAAATTCAATTTTGTGTTTTAAAATTTGGCACTTGGATGTGTGGAATATTAACAACTAGTGATTGGCCACGCAACTAAAATTAACATGATAATATTATCCAATAATTTATAATGTATTGATTATTTGTGTATTTAATATCATATAAATTTAGTGTTTATAGTAAATAATTATCTAAATTAGAAAACTAAGCATTTGCACCAAATTGTTGTATAAATACAATGTTAAGGTAAAACAGAAAAAAGTACAATATAAAAAAACATCTTTGTTGACACAAATCCTTAATTTGTATGTATTTATCTATATTCACTACGRYTTCCTAAAAAAACGTTTGTAAWAATCKATTGATCARRCATGTTATAGTATATTTTGYTTCTATAGAGACATCTGCATATCCTCAACAGAAATGTTGGAATGCATCTTTCTGTTTATTTCATTAGAATCTTGAATCATAAGAAGAGAATACTTGATGATTGATTGTATTTGTATCTCACTTTATTTGTCAATTTGCTGTGATATTTAGCTTTCACATTGAATCATTGGTAAAATGATTATTTTCTCTAGATTTATAATTTGTGGTGGAGTAAGGTTTTCTTTCGAAAATCTTGGTTAGGAGAGTTATTTTGTCCAACACAACTTTTTTTAATTGTATTAGGAAGTGATTGGTAAATTGGTTTTGAAAACTATGAAAACATTTAATAAAACGTTATGCATTTTAAAACCTTTTTTTTATATATCACATCATCTTTTTTTTTTTTTCATGTTATGCATTTTTATTAAAATTTATCTTCTATGATTTTTGTTCTAAAATCAGAGTTACCTATATAAAAGCCAAAGTTTTAAGTTTTAAACGTTTTTGTATAGTATAATGTTTAATTTGGTAAATGAA